AGGGAAAACCGGTATCTTGAGACTGTGGAACCTTGATAGCCAAGGACAGCAGCGTTTACCTTCCTATCCTGTTACACGAGCCTCTGTGCCGGCTTTATCAGGAGTTTTTACCACAAGTAGACAGCTTTCATGTGCCTTTTCTTCTTTGATCTATTGGTGGGGATTCGTGTTTGTGGGTTTCCTGACGTAGATACATGTACACATCCCTGGTGTGAGACCCACTCAGTCACAGTCGCTATGTCTTTAAATAGGCTTCCATACCTCATGCTGCTGCTTGGTTTGGACTTGTACATGGATTGTTGGAAAATTCGATTCCTCGCCCTTGTTTATTAAATAACTCTGTGCACACACTTGTCTAAATGTGTTCGTGCTTTGTCTCCGCCGCTCATCTTGCTTGTGTGATAGGAACTGCTGGGGCAAGGAGAAATCTCCTCAGATTAAATCTCCTCCACGAAATGTGTTTGTGTTATGAGCTGTAGTGCGCCTGGACCTCTGCGCTCTCGATTATCAGGGGAAAAAGTAAGCACCTCGCTCCGTCTAGACTTGTCTCCGTTCTCACCAGTTTCGTTACATGAGGTGTTTTCTCGCTTCACAGGTTCAGTTTAACTTGCAGTTAACAAAACCAAATCCGTCACTAGGGGACGTTCAGTCAGGAACAACTCTTAGTGTGCCTGGCTCCGCTGATAAGGAAAAGTAAGTACTCCTTGACATAACGCGGGATGTTCGCCCTTTTGAAAGTCACCTGAAAGCATTTCATCGGGGCCTGAAAAGCCAGGGCACCTGCTACTTATCTCGAGATTTTAAGTTGATGTCCATGGAACTTAAATTTAGTCACTCTTGGCTATAAGAAAGGGGTTTTTCATATATTTTTGAAACTGTAGGATGCAGTTAGATATATAGTAAAATTTTATTTTCTAAAAGATTTTCCTAGGTAACTGAAGGTCCCTTTTCAAATATTCGCGGGCAGGTAGCTAGAAATCTTACTATTTCCTGATAGTAACCTGAGGAAGCAGCTCGTTAACTTGCTGGGACCCTTCGGCAAGTGAGCGTACAGGCTGATGAGATTGTCCCAGCGAACATGCATACGTATGTCAGCTTTCCTGTCCGCGTGCCCCGCTGGCCTGCCCAGCGCCTTCCTGTCCCTTGGATCTCAGATGGGTTCACCTGCCGTCCGTTGAATCAGCGAGTTGTGGCCGAATTAAACAGCCGAGATGTGCAGACTGGTCTTCGTGTTCATAACATTGGTTTCTTGTCAGCCTGCTTCCTTGTTACAATGTGATGGCGTTCAGGGCCACCTGCTGGCACTGGTGGGCATGAGCGGTCACCTCGGGTATTTACTATGAGACTAGCAGAGGCTGCTTCCCCAGCTCCCGGCCGTTGTCCTTGGCTGCTCTAAAGCTGCCACCCGACGATATGACAGCAGTCAGCGCTGGGAGCCTCTTGCTTTTCCACTCTGGATGTTTACATCCTTACTCAGGTCACACGCCAAACCAGCTTACTTGCACAATGTGTGATGATCATATTTGCAGAACAAAAATCAAGAAATCGTGTTCATAAAAGTAGGACTGGTCAGCTATTTTCTGTTGAAATTTGTTAGGTTTTGTTATCAGCTAGTAAGAAGTGGCAGTGGGGATCAAAGATTCAAGAAGAAAAAACATTAAAATGGAAAAAATACCTATTCATCTTTCCTGAAAACTGGGAAAAGTCCTTCCTCTAATTTTAAGGTTATAAGGTCATCGTTTAGCAAGAGCTTTTCCTTTCCTATTGCAAGGATGCTACGAGAGAAGCTGCTAACGGGGCAGGTTGGGAAGAAGGGATGCAGTGGCAGAAGGAGAAAAGACAAGGGCGGACATGGCTTTCTTTTTGAAATATCACGTTTGCAGAACCCCTGTTGTGACTGTGTAGAGATATCTAATAATGACCCCTCTGAAGCACAGACTTTAAAGAGCTTTTGGTTAAAGAAAGAAGAAAGCGTTCATTTAAACAGACGAGGTAGGAAAGTCTCAATAGCATGGTGTCCTCAGGGCATGCCCGGAGGTGTGTATAGTCCTCAGAGAGCTGTTTCCCCCACATCCCCAGCCCAGCTCTGCCGGTTTAGTTTCAGGTGTTCTAATCCACTCTGCTGGGAAGAAGGGCAACGCAGCTTGTGGGCACATAAGTTATTTGCTTAAGAAAACAGTGAATAAAGTGATTTATTTTGAACAAAACTATAAACATATATATAGTATATAGATTAGATGAATAATCACAATTAACTACTAAAGAGAAAAATAAGAGTTTAAGTAAATAAGTACTATTTTCCTCCTAAGTGGTGAAAATGTAGGGCTGGAGCCCAAGTATCTGAAGAAAAGGGAGGACAGCATTCCTTTGCGGGGGCTCAGCCAGAATCTCTTCAGCACGGCAGGTGAGGCCTCTGCGTCCCGTCCCCTGCGGTGGGAGGGAAGGGGCCCGAGGCTGAAGGGAGGCCAAGTCACCTTCTCTTCCTCATTTGCAGACCATCAGAAAGATGGCCCGTTAGGAGCGCTGCAGACATCCTGCAAACCCGCCTCGGTCCCTTCCTCCTCCTCTGCGTACTTCCCCGGGCAGCTGCCGCACAGCTAACAGTGCCCTCTGCCCGCATGAGCTGTCACCGCCTGGTGGAGGAACCGTGCGGCAGGGGACACCCCACACGCACGCAGGAGCAGTGGCAGAGCTGCCTGGTGGGCAGCAGGCTGTGCGCGTCTCGGGTGCTGCTGTTGTTGCTGTCCCTGCCGGCAGGCGGGCGGCTCAGAGGAGCCGATTGGACTTGGGGACTTGGGGAAGGGAGGCTCTCGGAGTCGGTGCCAGGCTTTGGTGTGTGAACACGGTGCTTTACAGGACAGCAGTGGGTTGTCTGAGCAGCTCTTACACGTGCCAAGGCAAGGGTTGGTCGTGATAAGGGACGTTCTAATCACAGTGACTGCCTGGTAACGTCACACTTGTCCAACGGAATGGGAGCCAGAGGATGCTCGTAATTCGTTTTATTTTCATTGGTAAAAAGTTTTAAATTTGCCACCTAAGAATTATGAGGGAAGATGTTTATCTCCTAAGGTGTCTATATTATCGACGATAATGTAAAGGGAAAAAGTCATAAATCAATCCTTTATAGCAAGTATTTTCCTTGAAACCTTTCAGTTAGCTATTGAATAACTTGGACATGTATTTACGTGACCAGATTAGGTATCAACTGCTTGAGTCATTTGAGCTGCAGTTTACAGGATTTTATTGCTTCCTGAAAGTTTATGCTCATCCAAATTTTCTTTCATTTGGAGTTTTATTAGTGTTTTATGCAGTTAAATTTGTATTAGTGGCGTTTTGTTTTGAAAATTAGTACTATACAAAAGAGCATCATGAATATTCATTGTACTTGCTTTTTAATTTCAAAACGGGTTTAATTGTGTGCGTAATAAAGTAGGCAACTTTCTTTTGGTTTAAGTTTCAAATATGAGTAGTTTCTTGAGAAAACTTCTGCCCTCTGCCCGCATGAGCTGTCACCGCCTGGTGGAGGAACCGTGCGGCAGGGGACACCTCACACGCACGCAGGAGCACCCAGGCGGTGACAGCTCATGCGGGCAGAGGGCACTTGATTTAAAAAAATTCACCCAGCATCTTAGAGCCCATTTTTCTTACTGACAATCATCCAATCAAGAGTATCATTCTCTTAAGAAACGTGTCAGTTTTTATTTGTAAATATTGCTAATGTTCATTTAATCTTTCAAAAATTATTTTCAAGGACCATGTTATACAGATAAGGAAAGAGACATTTCAAGATACTGACATATCAACAGTTCCAGGGTAAGACAAAGAATCTATACTAATTTTTTAATGAAGCCATACTGAATCTGATACTTTGCAACTGCTAACAATTACAAGGTATCCTGAACTAGGGAACTCCCCTAAAACATTTAGTAACCGTTACTGGGCGATGAGTTCTCATATGTAGTTGTTTCCTCATTTACATACCCTACATGCGTAAGAACACTTGGTTACAGCACCTTGAAAGTGCTTACGGAGTGTGGGAAGAAGCCTCCTGGCCATGTTGATCTGCTCTTGTGAACATTGTGTAAACATATATGGACAGGCTGTGGATGGGATGACATACAGGTAGCTTTTTTAAAATTTTTATATAAATTAGAATTTCCAAAAGATCGATCACTTTGATGTGCCAAAGATTTTATATTAGATATACTTGTACTGACTTTTGAGTGTGCTAATTCTTTGCTCTACCTCTTAAACTTTTATTTGAAATTGTTTTGCAGTGTGAAGTATACATGTTAATAATCAGAATGTTGAATTTAATGTATTTCTGTGAACTGTGTGAACTTGGTTAGTAAGAATATTTGGGAGTAGGACATGTAAAAAGTATACGACCCTGGCTGGTTTGGCTCAGCAGCTAGAGCTTCAGACTACGGATCGAAGGGTCCCGGGTTTGATTCTGGTCAAGGGCACATACCTCGGTTTTAAGTTCCTCCCTGGCCAGGCCCTGGTCGGAGCACATGCAGGAGGCACATGTGTCAATGTGTCTCTCTCATATCAATGTTTTTCTCTCTCTCTTCTGCCGTCTTTCTTCCATTCTCCCTAAAAATCAATGGGAAAATATCCTCAGGTGAGGATTAAAAAAACAAAAGTATATGAAAACTGGAAAAGGACTGATATACAACATCTCTGCTTAGAAACTTGCTTTCACTTATGGATTAAATTTTCACTGTTTGTCTTCCTGCAAGAGTATTTTATAGTGAAGGGAAAAAAATGGATTCAGAGAGAAGGCATAAAGCTGTGATTTGTTACTGAGAAATGATTATGGTGACAAAGCCAAACTGGCCCTAGAGGGAATCACAGATCAAGACTTTCTTTTAAAAATCATTAAAATATTTAATTTTATTAACAGAGTATTTACATTTTTTAAGACCTTATTTAACCATAAGTGAATGTTCCAAGTTTAAAAAGCATTAAGCAATAATCACACACAAGATGAAAACCCTGTAAACTATACAATACTTTATGTACAATTTTTACAAAGTAACACTTTTTTTAAATAATATAACTGGACACAAAAATATACACTTTAGAGAAATTCACATCAGGAATCGTATAAAGCTCTCTCTAGGGTCCTGAAAATGTAGGACACACATTAGCTCTGTAAGTAAGTGTTACTGTGACAGTCCTGAAAGGCCACTATATATATGTATTTACATTAGACATCACGTGGACGTTTTCAAGGCTACCAGCTTGACTATAGGTTTCGGTTATGTGTTCAAGTGTTGAGGTTATGATTTTGCGAACATGAAAGGGTAGTGGTGTAGGAGCTGGGGAACAACTGAGCCAACATGTAGGTTACAGGCTCCCAACACTCAACTGAATGAAACATGGCTGACATTTTATTTTAAAAACAGTAGTGAAGAATGTTTAAAATGACTACAAACAGGCTTGAAACATGATTCAGGTTTAGTATAATTCTCTCGAGTTTCTCTCCTGCAGACCATTCCCTTACCATTTCTTTAGTGCATCTGCATTTAAGGCTTTGAATCGTTTGACCCAGGTTTCACAAGGTTAAAGCGAGCAGGCCCACAGCCACGCCTGTGCTCCATCCGCTGTGATTTGGATAAGCCTAAAGCCCAATACCTGGGGTTGGTAGCAGAGACGCTACTAGTATCTAAGAAGTCACAGATAGAGCTTTAATGAAAGGACATATATAATAAACAGCTTGGTGGCAAGGAAGTGGTGCAGTTAAACAAAAGGTTTCTTTTCAAAAGAAATTGTAACATCTTTGGAAAACTGTCCAGTTCTTTCTTTAGTTCCCCGGAGTCCATGCAGATCCGTTCCTTAAGACACCCTTAGAGTGTGGCGGTGACGTGGAATGTACATCAGCACGCAGGCGCGGTCAGCCTGGTGCAGCTGGAGAGGCTCCCGGGCCGCGGCCGCGCTCACACGTTCGTGTCCTGGAGTAAGGGTTCTTTGGCTTCTCCTGGCGCCTGTGCGCTGTGAGGGTGGCTGTGGCCGCCACAGTGCTTCCTCCAGCTGCTGGACCGCAGGCTGAGGTTGGTGTGCTCCGGGATAAACAAGGCCACCAGCAGCGCCAGCAGCACCGAGCAGGCTCCAAAGAGGAAGGGCGGGCCGGGGATGATGGAGTTCTAGGGGAGAGAGAGTCAGTGAGCGTTTCTGCACAAACATCATCGTCCATAAGAGATTGCTTATCTTGTTGTCATTATCGATCGCTATGATTATAAGCCATCGTTGCTCTCTTTCAGCATTAAAGCCACAATGAGGAAAAGCATTCCCTTTCAGGAGGAAGGAGGTGCTCTCAGCCTCAAGAGGGCCTGGGGATAAGACCCCAGAAAGCAGCCTCTGCAGAAACAGTGTCACTGGCGGCACAGGATCTGCACACCCCAGGAAATTCACCTAACGCTTGTTCAGGAGAAACCAGGACAAACCTCACAAGGAAAGCCAGCAGCTCCAGCAGACCTGGTTCCAGCCAGCACTCGCACTGCAGGCCCACACATCGCCCACAAACCACCGGCTGACTCACTGAAACCAGCCTGAGCTGGTTACAAGGTTAGTGAGCAAGGAAACTGCTGAGTGGTCTGTACTGTTTGCCGTTAATATTACAGCTGTGACGAGGAGGCCTAGCAAACGACGCCCCTGCCTTTTCCACAGGAGGCTGCTCCGGGCCCCGCAGCACGACCAAACCAGCACGCTGAAACCGTTAACTCTCGGAGGAAAAAGTACGCACCGCCCATCAGGCCTTGGTTTTTAAGTGCTAGTCAGCCTAAAGGAGCGAGAATGTCGCACAGTTTTTACCTGTTCAAAGTGGTGCTGTGGGCTGGTGTTTGTCCCCAAGTCCGTTCCTGTCATTGGCAGCTCTTTCAGTTCCACGTGGAATATGTAGAAAATGAACCCGTAGAGAGCTGGTCCCAGACCGTTACACAGCCCCCGAATTCCTGTTATCATCCCTTGAACAACACCTGAATGGTTGGGACAGAGCATCACTTAGTGCAGCTCGGGTCCTGGCGACCCTGGAACCTGCACCAAACATGGGAAGCCAGAGCCCAAGTGGCCACTGCCTCTCTTGTAAGATCCCTTTTTTTATGACTAGTTGCCATTTCAAATAATTATTGGCATTTTAGGAATTAAGTGTTCCCACCACAAAGCTAAGACGATATACATGTCTGCACTGAGCCCGGGAGACTTGCACGGGAGCGCCCCCAGGGGTCTGTCTAGTACACCCGCGTAGACATAAGGGGTCAGCATGAGGCCAAGGCTCTGTGTCCCCCAGGAGAGGACAGGGTTGGAACATCTGTGCCCACACAGCTGCCACGAACCCAGCAACTCACCCTGTTGGTCGGCATCAGCAGTTCGGGACACGAGCGCGCTGACGGCAGGAAAGGTGATACTGGACATGGCGGCCACGGCCCCTGCAGCCCACATCATCCTGTGGGCAGAGTGGCAGAGCTAAGACCCCTGCTCCCCCTGCCCGTCTCGGTGGGCACCGTGTGAGCGCTGCTGGGAAGCCACGTCACTAGACCCTGGGAAGGTCCTCCCTCCCCCCAACTGTGGAGAATAATGTATAAAACAAACAGGAAACGTTTCCAAACACGTGAGGTCAGTAACTTCCTCCAGGTTCCCACCGACTTCTGATTCAGTGGAGGCATCACTGGTTTGATCACAACTTTGGATGCTCCTGGTTTGATGTTTGAAATAAATGTTTTATAAACTGTGAACAACTCCTAAAAGCTGGACTAGAAAAACAGATGCCACCAGAACAGACCGTTCAGCTTGTGCAACATTAGTCCAAACTGGAGTTCAGTCCTGACGCCAGAGGACAGGGGGACGCCCATCCCTCCCTGATGCAGGGAGCCAGCCTGGCAGGAAGGGAGACGCGTCCAGCAGGAGGCTGGACCGAACCACTGGGCTTGCCTCCCAGACCCCTGCTGCTGTCAGTATAGCCGCTGGGGCCACTTAACTCTTTCCGAGGAGGAAGCTGACTTTCAGGCCCAGTTGCTATGGGATTATGTGCTTTTTCTGAAAGACAAACTGATGGAGGCAATAAATGCTCATTAGAGAGTCAAAGGCTCCATAACCTCGTGCAAAACCCAGCCTGTGAGTCAGCTATGA